TACTTAGACACGTCATTTTTCCCAGGCACAGTCAAACGCAATGTGGCGATCGGTGCTTCCTGGAGTGGCGGAGTCAAGACAGTCGGAAAATGGTCTATCAATAGTCGTGACAGAGTTGCCCGTTGCCGCAAGAAAAGGGCTGCTGCGATGCCTGGCGTGGTGGGTCTGCGATTACACTGATAAGGGCCCTAAGGTCCCGATTACAGCGTGTGTGTCAGTAAACAAGTGCAACATGTGTTCCGTGTCTAGCTGCAGCTAGTTGAAATGCGCGATTCTGTATTTTCCAAGGTGCATAACTTGTAAACACGGTCATAATTTGCACACAAACCAGGCACATCTTAAACCAAATTACCTCTTCTCCGGCATGTGGCTGAGAACTGGCGAAAAGCGAACCCAAACGGGCTGATCTGTTGTAATCATGCACTTACCAACGAGCAATAAAGCTTTCTCTTCATTTTGTGTGGTGTTGGCCGCTCCTGACACTTCAGACTCGCGACTCGCGTCCAGAAGCTGCAAATATCGCCTCGGCGGTATCGTGGCCACAGGGACGTCGCGCGGCCATTCAATATTCGATGCACACAGAACGCATCGGTCATACGTGGTATGCCAGAGGGCTGCTCTACTTCTCCTCGAAGGTACGGAGCGCTCTGCAGACGGGGATCGTCCGTTAACCAAGATAAGCCCACAATTGGCGGCACTTTATGTGGTGTCCATGTGCTCCAAACGTGGTCAAAGGGATTACCCCGCCTTTTTTGTACACTTTTCACTTATTGTTTCATCAGACGCGTACGATTTCATTTGTGATACCAGCTGTCTCGAAAACCTGATTAGCTCAGTATTTTGATTCGTAGCAGCCGACCCTGAGGAAGAATTGCCACTGACTCCCTCGCACCACTTTGAAAAAAACATTTCACTTACCTCGCTCCTCGAATCGTGTGCTCAGTAATGTTTACAGCCCACTAATTCATCAAAATGTTTGTGTAATAAACGCTACAAAAGCTTGACACAGTAGCTTTAGACAAAAAGATATGCGAACATGGAGCCATCATCATGCGAATTCAGCGAAACGTTACACCATGACTGATTTCTCGCCTAAAACGGTCGCGTTCACCACAGTGGCTCTTTTCGAGGCGCGCTATGTCTTTGGGAATGGGAGCACCACATGATGCATGCGACGCACTAGTTCAAACCTCAACCAGTGCGCTGCTTGGTAACATGCCCCTGCCCGCTGGAGCCATCACACACGTTCTTTTCTTTGCACCAGTGGAGGTACGCACGGTGGTTGTCGTTACGACGGTAGTCGCGACTGCAGGTAAAAAGCATAGTACGGCTGCAAAGCGTTAACAGGATAATTTTGACTTAAAAATTATTGAAATTGGTATGGTAATATATGGTTCTCATGTGGGCACCATGGATTTTAGAGACGGACGAGCCTTTGTGTTACCCATGTGCAAACCGCGGCGAGCCCCATACGGGCACCATATGATCGCCCATAGGTTCCCATGTGGAAATAAGTGGGCTTCCCTTGTGAGCCCAGTGTGGTTACCATATGTCGGTGCTGGCTTGGAACGGGCTTGGCTGTCGTCACACGGGGAACCCAATGGCATGTGGCTGTATGTTTTCTGCTTTTAGATCTGAGCATGATCCGCAACTGCAATTGAGCGTAATGTCGCGCTTGCCTCCCCTTGTTCCTCCATCACCTCTCTCCCTCGGCTCCGTGCGTAACATAACTTATGGGCGACTCGTCTATCCACACGGACACTTTTTGGACAGGCCAATGAAAAACCTCTTTTCACTTCAAGCGATCTTCTGAAATTGAATGAATGTTAGGACATTGGTCAGTTACCGGTAATTGCGGTGCAGCCTTAAATTAGACTGGCTAGTGTTGGCCGGCGTAAGGAATGGGAGCTGAATATATGGAACCCGTGCATGTGCATAATCGCACGTTTAACATCACACAGGTAGACACATTGTACACGGCAAATGAAATGGACGATAGTTCAGTGTTTATCGCCGCAACAGGACGGAACCCTTGGCATGGCCAAAACATGCACTTTCGGCTCGACTGATCGGTCTAGACCAAAGTCGAGCGATGGTGTTACATTTAAGCTCAATGGTGCGACAGAACTTGCACTTTTTATTCAAGCTCAATTTTTTCTTATGCATAAGCGTTAGCGCAATTTTTAGCGCAGTGTTGCATTAAGTGGAGGCAGAACTCTGCCTCTAATGTAAGTCTAACGCTACCTTGTGTGTGTTTTAACATGTCCTAAAAAGTCATAAATAACAAAAACCGAAGGCATTCATACCGAATAAAACCGTCCTGCATGTTGTATTAACTTGAGGAAAAGCGAAATGCGGTGAGGGTGCAAGTCGACAAGAAGTGTTTGAGAAAGCCAATCATTTGTGAAAGCATATTTTTGACCTCATTCTGGCAACGACATTCAGATAGCTTAGGAAATTACACAGCATTTTGAGGTCATTATTTTAAGAGATAAGGAGAAGGTGACATATTTTGTAGAGAGTGGAGAAGACTTAAGATGAATCAGTTTTAGTGATAACGGTTTTGAAGCTCACTGTAAGGTTTGCAGTAAATTAATGAATTGCTGTTCTTTAAATTTGCATTAATGGCGCATGTTTTTCGAGCAAGTCGCCTGAGCAGCGGGATTTTAACCGGGCTTTTGAACAACTTGGTGGTAGGTGGGTGCGTGACAGAATATTCTGTAGCCCTGGATACGTGATATTAGGGCTGCAGGTGGTAGGTGCGTAGGTGCTAGTTCCTTATATCAAGCTGTGCAGATCACGCGAGGCACTATGTGGTTGGGTGCCGCGGGGTGTACGTCAAACGTCGTTTACCGCTAATCGCATCTGAGCCAGATGCGACTCAGATCAGTTCGCGGTGCATGAAAAACATTCATGTCTTGCAATAGGTACATGGAATCAGAAAAATGTTAGGCATAAAAGTTGGGTAATAATTTTTGGACTATGCCCCTTGTCTTTTATGTCAGTATATAATCACCATGTCAGCCAGTTCACCCCCAGATGCCATCGGGTGTACTGGAGTCTTGAAGGGATGGCTGATGTTTGACTTTCAGCGATGTACTTATTTGTATATAAAGCCCAGGTTTTCTCCTCAGAATTGATTCAAACCAGGCCATCCAGTCGTGAGTCCCGTGATATAGCAACCAAACTGTCAAGGACAAAAATTAAGAAATCAAAGATAATTCCATGGTAATGCTATTATCCTAACATTGTTATCATCCTTATCATCATCATGATGTATTGTGATTCAAATAATACTTTCATCTTTTGGTTGTATTTGAAAGTGGACACACAATGTTTCTGGCAGTTCACCCTCTGAGTGACTGCATCAACAGCAGTGAGCATTGCCTGTAAGTGGCCAAAAGTGAGGCTATGGTAGGACTTAAAGGAGTTCTCTTATGTGAGCATGGGTTAGTCAGTATTTGTTAAAGCATACCATTTCAAACATTGTAATGAAAGCATTTCAACTTTATTTCTTATTTTGACATGCTTTGTTTCATATCAGTGAATAAGTATTTGCTAAAATGTATGTGAATGAGGTTAGGGCATATGACAAGCAAACATAATCCAAAAGATTATCTGTATGCCTGGTACATGATCAAAGAAGGTGTCTCCTGTCACTGGTCATTGTGTCATGCTGCGTACCATATAGCTTCAATTTAGACATTTTAGGAGATTTATCCTGGGAATCAACAATCTTCTTGAGTTGATGATCTACATTTCCATAATACTTTATGCTGTATACATTTATTCTTTCAAACAATGTCATGGTTACACTCCAAAGATACACACACAATTCATGAGCCGGTCGTTGCTGATGGCTCCGTTGTTGGCTGGAGCGCCTGCCCCCGGCCACCCGCCTGCTGAGGTAGGTTCGAGGCGAAGGCGCTCCATCTTTAGGCTTGACAGGTATGGCTTGCGGCCGGTGACAGCGGTCGCGCTAAAGGTCAGCTGACGTTAGAGGGCAGGACAGACTGTGGTGAGCACTGTAGCATGTTCAACTTTCTGCCATCAAATTCTGATGTTAACAATTTAATTGCATGATCTGATGGTAGGGGTCAGGGCTCACACAAGAAGCTCTGCTTAGCATGAGCTCTGATCCCAAAAATCCATCCATTTGGAAGGTTCAGATTAACTATTTGAAGAACTGTAGGAATAGAGTTCCATCCAGATAATTCGTTGCATGGTAACATAGGAACTGAAAGCATTTCTGGCCTGCGGTTGTTATGTATTTGCCATGAAAAGCGACCTTTTCATCAAATGCTCATGATGTTTGATTTGGTTTGCTAAAAATCGTGTGATTTGTACTCCTGTGTCGTATTTTTATGTCAATGTAGGGCTCAGTTGGTCACAAGTGCACTTGAATCCCTGTCTGCTGCCAGCTGTAGTAAGAGAAGCTGCCATTCTGGTCTCCCTGGTACCTACTAGTTAATGTCCATACTCCCGGATGCGCCTGTGCCCAGACTAGTCGCACGGCACAGCCATCTTCTGCCGTACTCTTCCAAGTAAATTAACAGGTCGTCAACATCCGACCCTCTTATCCTCTGTCTCGCTTCATCCTGCATCCTCGCGACACCCCGCTTGTCCGGGGCAAGCTGCATGCGTCAGCCACGAGTGAGCCGAGGGCCCCGTGGGTAGGGGGACCCGGACCGAGTACCCAGCGCACATGCGCGGGTTAAAGCTCGGTGGTTGGTCCCCCAGGCGCATGCAAGCCTGCCCCACCAGTAACCATTTTCCTTCATCACATTGCCCTGAAATGATCAGATGTGGTCGAAGGGGCTCTAATCCAAACAACCAACAAGAAGTCATTTTGACATGGGTCATCCTCACAATAAGCCGACCGCTCCAGCAGGCATTGGTTCTGCGTGGTGCGACCTCCAGCCGCCTGTCCGCGCCATGACCCGGCCCGCGCCCGGCAGGGGCAGCCATGGACGAGCTGGCGCGCGGCGTGGACGGCCTGCGGCTGCAGGAGGACTCGGTCGCCGACCTGCTGGACGCCGAGCCCAGCGCCGACGCTCTCCACCGGCTGCTGGAGCGCACCCAGGGCCAGGGCCTCTCCTGCGGACCGTCGCAGAATGGTGAGCGCTCAGACGGCACGCAGTGTTCGGGACGGACGCGGCGTGACGTGATCCTCGCTGGCGGACCATCTGCGGGACGGACGCGGCGTGACGTGATCCTCGCTGGCGGACCATCTGCGGGACGGACGCGGCGTGACGTGATCCTCGCTGGCGGACCATCTGCGGGACGGACGCGGCGTGACGTGATCCTCGCTGGCGGACCATCGGCGGGACGGACGCCGATGGTCCGCATTCGAGGGCGTCGTCGTTGACGCGGCCGCGTGCGGGCCTGCAGCGGGGTGGGCGGTGCTGGCGGGCGCGCGTCAGTACGCTCTGTAACCGGCGTGGCGTCCGCCGCCAGGTCTGAGTGTGCAGCGTGGCCTGCAGGCAATGTCGGCCGGCCAGCCTCTGGAGGCGCTCCACTGCCTGGCCGAGTGCCACTCCACCACGCTGCGCCACTACATGATCCTGAAGAGCTCCTGCCGACTGGCTCAGTGCGTGGCGGCGCCCTGGCGCAGGCGGCGCTGCCCCGGCTCGCGACGGCGGCTGATTTAAATGCACCCGTAGCGACACTGGGCGTGTCATTTCCTTGGCATCACGTAGAGCTGGAATGATGTTTCCGTTGCCTGGTCCGGGAATAGTGTTTTGTTTCCTTTCGGACCGTAATGTGCTTCCTCGCTTTTGAGACAGGCATGTGTCTACGATAGGATAAACCGATAACTGTATGCTGCAGCGCTCTTGCCCAAGTACCATGCAATTATCAGTTGCATCATGCCATTCTCTGTAACGTGTCTGCTTCTGGGCTGTAATGATATGCGTCATTGAGGGTGCTTCGGAGAGCACCAACCCCGCATTTTCAACACTTATCCCAATACCAGCTCAGTGAAAGCATCCCATTGCCGAGGCATGAGATGTGGTGTCCTCGGTGCCGTTGGGGGACGAGCCGCAAAAGGACGTGTGTTCAGAGCGTTCCTGATGCTTTCTTGCGTTTTGCCTGTTTTGTGTTGTTTTTCTTTGTGTCCATGCCCTGGTGCTGTGACCGGCGGCGACAGCACGGCCCAGCCCGTCCGAGTGCACTTCCAACGTGCTTGCGCTGTAAGCCTCGTGTTACCCTCTGACCGCCGGCGCCCGTGGTGCACCGCTCGCCCCAGTCGGCCCGGCCCGGGCGCCACGAGCGCCGCTGACCGTCGACGCCCGTGGTGCACCGCTCGCCCCAGTCGGCCCGGCCCGGGCACCACGGGCGCCGCTGACCGTCGGCGCCCGTGGTGCACCGCTCGCCCCAGTCTGCCCGGCCCGGGCGCCACGAGCGCCGCTGACCGTCGGCGCCCATGGTGCGCCGCTCGCCCCAGTCGGCCCGGCCCGGGCACCACGGGCGCCGCTGACCGTCGGCGCCGTCGCCGCCAGAATGGAGATGAAGTCGGGCCGGCGGGTGGAGGACTGGCCGGCCGGCACGCAGGAGGCGCTGCTGGACGCGCGCCGCCGCCTGCTGCAGTACCGGCCGTCGCCGCGCCGCCGGGAGGAGATGCTCGAGCTCATCAGCCAGGTGCCGCCCGGTATGTGCGCCGTGGCCGCCAACCGGGCGCTGCCGGGGTTCGGGTGCGGGTGTTGGCGGCGCGCAGGTGCCGCCCGGTATATGCGGTGTGAGTGTTCGCCATGCGGTGTCGGCTACGTGCGGTGGTGGCGCTGGAGTTTGTAACGCAGGGGCCGTCGTGTAATTGGCTGAGCTAGGTCTGCAACACAGTCTGTGACGTGCCACCAGCATCTGCACTACAATCGCAGAGTATGTCTGTCTGTCCGAGAGCTACTCGTTTTGTGCTGCAGGTTATGCGATGGTTTAACAGTGCGCGACTGTGTGTGTGCAGCCGACACGACATGACCGTGCACTATGTGTGTGTAGTCGACACGAGACGACCGCGCAATATGTGTGTGCAGCTGACACGACGCGACCGTGCAATATGTATGTGCAGCTGACACGACACGGCTGTGCACTATGTGTGTTCGGCCGACACGACACGACTGTGCACAGTGTGCATGTAGTCGACACGACACGGCTGTGCAATATGTGTTCTGGATGTTAAGCGAACACGACTCGACTGTGCACTTTGTGTGTTCAGTCGACACGACACGACCATGCATTGTGCGTGTGCAGTCGACACGACACGACTGTGCACTGTGTGTGCTCAGCCGACACGACACGGCCGTGCAATATGCGTGTGCAGCGGACACGACACGCCCGTGGTCAATCCATCCCCTGTTCCCAGACGGTGTGCCGCCTCAGCGCCTGCGTGCGATCGCCAGTGGTCTCGTGAATGCCTTCCCCGCCCGCCAGACCGGCCACCGCCCCAACACCGCGTACTGCTCTGACATGACCTGTCCCGCCGACCAGATTGGACCGTGGTTCAGCTGACGGCGGTGCCGCGCGCGCGCACGCGGGTGGCGCGCCTGGATACGCCCGAGCTGGTGGTGGCGCGCTTCGTCGGCGGCCGGCCCGACTCGCTGCTTCTGGCGCGTGTGCCGGCGCCGGCCGCCGACCACTGCAGCACGTTCCGCTCCGAGTTCGAGGCGATTCTGGCCGACAACGCCTCCATCCAGCGCAGCCTCTTCAACGATCGCCAGAAGTACTGGACGCAGCGCGGCCTGCTCGACGACCGCATGAAGGTGATGACGGTAGTAGTGTTGAGAACGATGGCGATGCATGAGCGCAGATTGCCTCAGGCTGACCTGACCTACATAACCGACCCGTCTGGAGGCGGCGCGGTTTGTCTCCGGACCATGCAGCAGCACTTGTGCTGGTCCAGGAAACAGCGGAGTAAGATGGCTGGTTGGACAAACACTCGGTGCTGCTGACTTAACTTTCACCGTTACGAATTTGCAGAAATACGTGGCATCTCAGGGTGCTGCACATGCCGTGCGAATGAGCGTGAGTTCCGAACGCCCAGACCACCAACCGAAATATCTCCAGCTGTTGCGAGGCGTGCTCACACCATCTCAAGCACAACGCAATATCGTAACAGCCCATAACAACATAGGGTCTTTATACCGTCGTGGGTGATATCCGACCACCAGCGCGTGACGCGTCGCGACGCCAGCGCCCACGTGACACTAGCGTGCGCGTTGCAGGCGATCGTGCGCAGCATGGAGGTGGCCTGGTTGGGCCGCCAGGCGTACCTGGTGTCGGGCGAGCCCGTCTGCCCCCGACAGCGGGCGGCGCTGGCGGCGGCGCTGGCGGCGCTGCCCGCCTCGCTGACGGCGCCGCAGCGCGCGCGGCTGGCACTCATCTGCGGCCGGCCACCGGCCACGTCAGAGGAGCTGGCCGAGCGCGTGGCCGAGGCGCTGGGCCCGGCGGCGGCGCAGCAGCAGCGGCGCGCCGTCACCGAGGCGCTGGCGGCGCGGCGGCCGGCGCTGCGCGCGGCCTCGCTCACCGCCCCTCGCCGCGGCCAGGTGATCCTGGTGCTGGACCGCGAGGTGCAGCGCTACCCGTGGGAGATGGTGGGCCAGCTGGCCCGCGGGCCCGCCTGTCGGCTACCGTCACTGGCCATCCTGGGCCTGTGCCTCGCCGGCCGGCGCGCCCAGCTGCCGCGGCCGCCCGGTGGCGCCACCTACATTATCAACCCGGCCGGCGACCTGGTCAACACGGAGCAGCGCATGGGCCCGTTCCTGGCGGAGCGCGGCTGGAGCGGTATCGTGGGCCGGCCGCCGACGCTTAAGGAGTTCGCCGCGGCACTGACCGACGGCCAGATCTTAGCGTGAGTGGGCCGGGGGGAGGGGACGGACCCGCCGCCCCGGCCGGTCGCCTATTCGCGGCGAGGTAGCGGTTCTTGTGGGGTGGAGTGGCGAGAGGAGCTCGTGATGTCTTTTGATTTCCTCTTTCGGCGGGGTACGAGTTTCTGCCCAAGCGGCCGCGCTGTTCCGTACGGGTTGATGCGTGTGTGCGGGCGTCTGTTCGTATCCGCCACGTGCAACACTGCTGAGATGACTGGCCCGTCATGTGGATGGTGTTGAGGCATCGTACTGCGCGCAGTCTGCTCGGTGTCGTATGTACCATGGTAACGCTGGTGATCAGTGTTGTTTGTACACTGCCTAGGCACCATTGGTTCGTGTTACGCCGGTGTCTCAGCAACTGCATGCACAACTCCCGGTGCTGACCACAGGACTCTTGTTGACCGAGGCCTGACCCGGCTGCCGTGACGTCATCGATCCCTGCGCGCGGCAGGTACTGCGGCCACGGCTGCGGCAGCCAGTACCTGCCGGCCGAGAAGCTGCGCTCGCTCACGTGCAACGCCGTGGCGCTGCTGTTCGGCTGTAGCAGCGGGCAGCTGGTGCAGCCCGGACCCACCGTCGACCCCTACGGCGCCGTCTACGCCTACCTCATGGCCAATTGGTGGGTGGAGAGCGCGCGCGCGCCGAGCAGGCCGCTGATACGTCGATGAAGGACGGGGGCTGGGCCTTCTTTCGTGAAGCCTTCGTTTTTTCTTCGACCTTGGTCTTAACCATGAATTTTCTTCAGACTGAATACGGAGAAAGCAGCGGCATGTTTTCATTTATGTGACATCCGTTTTGAGTTGCAGCTCTCTTTACGCCGTATTTATTCTGCTGAGTTGGTTCTAGCGTTGGTTCGTGCGCTGGACGGGAGGCAAGTACCACTTATTGTTCTTAGGGATGCGACCCAGGGCAAAGCTTGAAGTTGGCGACATCACAGATATTTGAGACTTGTTTGGGGTTTGTTTGGACTTAACAGCTGCGATTTAAGAACATCATTTTCTGCTCGTTCTGGGATAGTTAGATGTATGCTTTTGGCTAGCCCCCACTCGTTAAATCAGTGTATGAACTACTATTTTGTGCTACTTGAACAAAACTGGCATCACTCATGGCACACTGCCATGCCTGATCAGCAAGAGTTGATGGGGTGTCTTGTTTAAATCACACTGCTTGATTTACGGCTGTGTATAAAATGATCGTTATGAGCGTTGCATGACCTACTGTATTCGATGCATCCAAAAAAGCCAACTCGACATGATTACACCTGGTACGCGACGCCCTGTGCTGTTTACTCCCAGTTCACAAACGGCTGTCGTGTTCTGTGGCATGGCGCATCATGTCGCAGAGCGGACACCGTTCAGATGGTGTGTAAGTTTCGTTTTTCGTTTCGCTGGCTGTCTACTGGCATCTCCCTCACAAATCTCCTCCGTCGGGTGGGCAGTGCCGGTAGCCGAAGTACCTGCTTCAATCTTTTATGAAATTGTAGAATTGAAACTCCGGTTTATAGCTTAACAGCCGCCCGCTCGTTCCCCAGCGAGCATACTAGGCGTTTCAACGATGAGAATGGGTGGAGTCGCCTTCATTCTCTGTGCCACGTCGTATATGCGGCACTTTGCTTCCGTTGGCATGAAATATTCAATCGAAAGTGGAATGCATGCACATGTTTAGGAATACGCACACGTGTTGTCATGTCCGTGTTAATGGCGTGGCTTCATGTCCGGCGATATTGAAATTATCACAAAAATATCCGCCCTCCGAAAAAAATCCTTGAAAACTCGCCGCTCTGAAAGGCCAATGGGTTCCACTATTGCCCCAAATGATAGCTGTCTTGTTAGCTGTACTAAAGTTGGGGACTTTGTGAGGCTGGGAGATTGAGGCCGGGTACTGCTGTCGCAGGAGCTAACAGGCCACCATCGGGATGTTTGTCTCGAGAAGCTGTATGTGCTAGAACCTTCCTCGCAACCTCCCTCGAGCCTCCCTTGCGGCCTCCCTCGAGCCTCCTTTGAGCCTCTCTTGCAGCCTCCCTCGAGCTCCCTTTGCGGCCTCTCTCGGGTCTCCCTCGAGCCTCCTTTGCGGCCTCCCTCGAGCCTCCCTCGAACCTCCTTCGAGCCTCCCTCGAGCCTCACTTGCAGCCTCCCTCAAGCCTCCCTTGCAGCCTCCCTTGAGCCTCCCTCGAACCCCCCTTGCAGCCTCCCTCGAGCCTCCCTCGAGCCCCCCTCGAGCCCCCTTGCAGCCTTCCTCGAGCCTCCCTTGCAGCTTCCCTCGAGCCTCTTGCAGCCTCCCTCGAGCCTTCCTCACAGCCTGCCTCGAAGCCTGCCTCGAGCCTCCCTTGCAGGCTCCCTCGAGCCCATCTCGCAGCCTCCCTCGGGTTTTTCTCGAGGCTGCCTCGCAGCCTCCCTCAAGCCTCCGTCGTCAGTTGCGTTGTATGGCTTCTGATGCATTGTTTGGTGGGCAGACGGTATCAAGACATTTTGATGCAAATTTTTAGGCTCAAAGCACAAACCAGCTGGATCATTTTTGGGGTGGGGGCAATTGCTCAAGTTGTTATCGTCGCAACTCTTAGCCGTCGAGGCAGACAACGCCGCTATGCGAAGGCGCAGCCGGGCACCTTTCAGCTTAGACTAGGTCTCTGGCCGCCGCGCTCTCCGCGCCGGACTACGAGCCTCTGCAGTGGGGCTATGTTCCGGCGGACGTGTTTGACGCTCTGCCTGTACGCTCGCCCAGCCCGGCGATTCTAGGTAACCTGTGGTCTGTCACGGACAACATGCTCGACACCTACTCCAAAGCAGTTATCGACAAGTGGACAGGTGAGCTCAATCTCGCCCGATGGGAGGTCTCCAACGCGCTCGTACGGCACCACTGATGTACTGAAGATAGGGTGGCAGACGGCTCGCGTGGCTAGGAAATGCGCGCTTGCGAAAGGCGTTTCTGTTTGGTGTAATGTACCTTTGTGGGCCCGCCGGCTGTCCGTAAGTGGCGGTGTGCTGTGCCTGTTATTCACTGAGCATGTTTCGCCTGCCGGCCAGTACAACGCGTGCACGGCCAGATCAGTGGACATGGCGTCCCCTCATGGGAACTTCTTGCGTGGCACCCACCCAGCCACCACCTCGTCCGAGCGCTCGTTTTACACGTCCGAGCCGTCCCCTTGGGGGACGGTGGGCGCGGTGCTGCGGTGCGGCCCGGGACGGCGGCGACGGCACGGCCGCCCTCTCGTACCCCCGCGGTGACGCGGCTGCCCGCTTCCAGGCGCCGGCGACAACCCGAGCCTGCCCGAGGCCGTGTCCGCCGCGCGCGGCTCGGTCAGCTCCACCTTCATGGCCGCCGCGCCCGTCGTCTACGGCCTGCCCGTCACGCCGGACGCCGCGCTGGACCGCACGACGCCGGACCCGGCCGCGTCCGACGGAGAGGAGCGCGCGACACCAGACCTGGCCACGCTCGGCGGAGAGGTCCTGGCGGCGGCCGGCCAGGGCCACGTGACCGTGCCACCAGGGGAGAGCGGCGAGCCGCTGGACGGCGGCGGCCGGGACGGCTCGGCCGGCTCGAAGCGCACCACCCGGGATAAGGTGTCGGCGCAGCGCGATGGGTCGTCCGGACGGGCACGGGCGAGGCAGGCCAAGCCGCCGCCGCCGGCGGCGCTGGCCGCCGGCCGCGGCCGCACTCGGCGGAGCGCACGCGAGACGTAGCGCCACACCACCGCCGTAGTACCGCTGTGGAGGGGGGGGGGGGGGACTACCTCTGGATTGATTGCCAGGAAACAGTACAATGTCCGGCGGGTGACCGCCGCCGCTGACTGGGGCGTCGCGGTTGTGTTCCGCCTCGCGCGGTATAAGGCACCTTACACAGTTGTCATAAACATGAGTGTCCAATGTATTGACACAGTACGGTCATCTAGTTAGGGCACTTGCGCTTCATCATTGACTGTTGGCGAAGACGCTGTGACAAATAGATCAGTTTGAGTGTGAGGCGCCCGCTTGTACCACGATTGGGTCACCGCATGCCACCGCGGCGTTGTCCACAGTGCCCGAGCCGCCGGCCGTCGCTGCCGCACCCGCTGTGACCTCAGGCACGGCTCGAGGCACCGACCACGGCTCGCGCCCATCTCAATTCACAGCGCACACTTAACGTACACGATTACATCACCGCCAATGTCGCTCAACGCGGCGTGCGGCGGACTCCAGTGACGTCGCCTGCGACCTCTGGCAAACACACGCACTGGGCAACGATCCTGCCCTCCCCCGCCGCTTCGCAGCCCCGTCACAGCGCTACCGTCCCGGCCGCCCTCGGCGCCCTCAGCTCTCGTCGTACACTTCCAGCACGTCCTTCAGGTGATCGTTGTCCTTGGGGCCCTTGTTGCGCTTCTTGCCGCGCGAGGCCTTTCGCTTGGGCGGCACCAGCTTCTTGAGGCCGTGGTCGTGCATGGCCTGCAGGCCCTGGCGCTCGAGGTACTCCTCGATCTTCTCGTCGTCGACGCCGCGCACCGGCACGCTGCGCCACAGCTTGGCCAGCTCCTCATCCACCTGGAACCGCGCCGTCCGGTCGTTGTAGAAGATGACCTTCTTCTTGTCCTGCGGCCGCACGATGTAGGTGATGTCGTTCGCCAGTTGCTGCGGGCGGGAGCCGGGCCGTTAAAAGGGGGCCCGGGCGGCAACGGGCTGCCTGCAAAAGACTGCGATGAGATAAACGTATGCCCCTTTGTATAGCCACGCCATCGGAATGGCTTCGTTTGGCAGCGCGCTCGCGATCGGTCGGGGACCGATTCACATGTTCGGTGACAAATACAAATGCCTCACCACTGATCAATTTCCAATTCTTTTGCAACATCATACCCAACAGGCCTCGACGATCTTGTCACTGGTCACAAACCTAGCGCACCTTCATGATCCTGTCGCAGTTGGGCAGGCTCTCCTGGACATCCTCAAGCAGTAGACCGCCGTAGCCCTTCAGGTCGTGCTTGCGTAACAACTTCAGCATGGTCTTGCGATCGCGCAGGTCGTACGGCGGCTTGAACTGGTACTTGTTCTCCGGCGTTGTCATGATCTTGGGATTGCTGGGAAGTGCCTTCTGTGACGAGCCACTGCAGCAACAGTGGGACATCTGTTAGCTTTGGCCAGGCGTCTCCAACCGGACCGGATTCACCACAAGGCAGAATACAAAGGTTTCGGTGGGCGAAAGAATTACCATGTGGCCAGATCATGCCGGAGTAACGGAAGACAATACCCCTTCCTTCCGGAGGTGCGGTACGTTTGGTTTACTTTCTGGCGCACGAACCATCAAGGTCACCGGCGTTGCAATCTTCTGCGTCAGCGCTAGCGGAAGAAATCTGGACGCAACTGGTGGTGGGCCTGGGCGCCACGTCATCGGCACCGTCTGAGCGCTACACATTCCGCGGGTCTGGTAGTGGGCCTGGGCGCCACGTCATCGGCGCCGTCTGAGCGCTACATATTCCGCGGGCCTGGTAGCGGGCCTGGGCGCCACGTCATCGGCGCCGTCTGAGCGCTACACATTCCGCGGGCGTACCCTCGCCGTTTCGTGGATGTAATTTTGCACTACGATGGATTGGGGACCCAGCAAATCAGCCCACCCTGGGCTGCCGAGGTCTCGATCACATGTATGGATCGGATCTACAAACAGGATATGAGGCGCATGAGCTTCACTTCATATGTAGCTGGTAAAGACAAGACAGACCATAACATGATCGCAAGAAACTGTATCAGCACGTTATCGGCCAATTGAGGTCCAGCACTACATGGCGCTATCAACCTCACTACATCAGCCCGCAGAACTGATGAGCTGCTCTATTATATGGAGTTATCAACCTCACCACATCAGCCCGCCGGACTGATGAGCTGCTCTGTTGTATGGCATTATCAATCTCACCACATCAGCCCGCCGGACTGATGAGCTGCTCTATTATATGGAGTTACCAACATCACCACATCAGCCCGCCGGACTGATGAGCTGCTCTATTATATGGAGTTACCAACCTCACCACATCAGCCCGCCGGACTGATGAGCGGCTCCATTCCGTGATGCTGTCGTGTCTCACCTGTTTGACCTTGGAGCCCACGTCAAGCTGGTTGGTCTCGTCCAGGATCTCGTCGATGGTCAGAGGGTATAGGTTGCCCTCCTGGTGGCGCTTGCGCATATGCTTCACGATCTTGGCAAGCACGCCGAACCGGTACTGAGAGCTGCCCGACACGAGTTTTAGGCTGCGGACGGCGGCAGGGGTCAGGCGGCGCTGCGCAGCGTCCCACACGCGGCGGCGGCAGCGCTGAGACCGGCACCCGGTGCTTAGACGCGTTGAGACCGGCGCCCGGTGCTCAGACGCGCTGAGACCGGTGTCCGGCGCTCAGGCGCGCTGAAACCGGCGCTCGGTGCTCAGGCGCGCTGAGACCGGCGCTCGGTGCTTAGGCGCGCTGAAACCGACGCCCGGTGCTCAGGCGCGCTGAGACCGGCGCCCGGTGCTCAGGCGCGCTGAAACCGACGCCCGGTGCTCAGGCGCGCTGAGACCGGCGTTCGGTGCTCAGGCGCGCTGAGACCGGCGCTTGGTGCTCAAGCGCCGGGCGATCATCACGCACGGGCCGAGGGTCGGCGCCGTCGCCGGACCACTGAGCCCGGTTCGGCGGGAGTAGGCTGGACGGCGTAAGCGTGCTGCTTGCGTTGAACAAGGATTTTGGGCTTAGCGCGGGCCTGATCGACGGGTCTGATTGCCTGTGGTTGGTCGAAAGCTCAGCACAGTGCCGCCAGCGACTGGAGCGAGTCTACCAGCTCGAAGTTTCCGCCCCCCCCCCCCCCCCCCCTCCTCTCCGCTCCGTCGCTGCTCACCTGTGTATGTCTCCAGGGGTCGGTCCCACCTTTGCTTTCTTTTTCGGCGGTTCGCTGGCGCTGGGCTTTGTTGGTGCCTTTTTTGGCTTCGTCTCCACCCTGCGGTGTGAAACAACGCCTGATTTGTTACATCGCCGTCAGTGTGATGCACACGTCCAGTCCAGGCCCATGCCGCGGTGTGACGCACACGTCCAGTCCAGACCCATGCCGCGGTGTGACGCACACGTCCAGTCCAGACCCATGCCGCGGTGTGACGCACACGTCCAGTCCAGGCCCATGCCGCGGTGTGACGCACACGTCCAGTCCAGACCCATGCCGCGGTGTGACGCACACGTCCAGTCCAGACCCATGCCGCGGTGTGACGCGCACGTCCAGTCCAGGCCCACGCCGCGGTGTGACACACGTCGAGTCCAAACCCATGACGCGGGAAATACCAATGAAATCATTCAATGAACATATATATTCATCTCAAAGACCAGGGGTCTTCCTGAAAATAACACTTCACGCCACATGACCTAAATGAGGTAGTCCAGCAAAGCGCAGATACCTTCCTTTCAACTGCGATCTGTTCGCGACATGACGGCGATGGATTGAAATGCTCCACGTTCAGAACTTGTTACAGTTGGGTCACAATGACAATAAAGCGTAAGGTCTGAACGCCGACGAAATGCGAAAACTTACACAGGGGTGGCCATCGCTTTCTTCCGAAAGGCATCCCTTTCCTTGAGAAGTGACGGATCCATGGCTAAATGCTTGCTGAAAAACAAACAAAATCAATCAAATACTAATGGATACAAGGAGCAAAACGGGACGACATTGCAGCCCTCAGTCAAGTGTCTTTTAGACCTTGGACGCCACAGAAAACATGAGTGTTGCGGTCACGAACAGGGCAAGCACAAGCCGAGCCGAATAAATGAGGTAATTCTTCTGTCTAAAAAAGCATGCAGCATGTAAACGCGCTTTTCACGACGGGTTCAAAAATTCCACATCACATGCACACCCGCTCCAAATTCACCTCCAGGCCAGCACCCAAACACTTCAACTTTTGTCCAGAAGATACCTTGCCCCTGTACCTGCAACAAAGCGAAGTATTGTGAACAATAATTCATCGCCAGTAACGCATCGTCATAAAACAGTTCCATCTGTGAGTAGATGGAGCATCACAACCTTTAATTTCAACATGCACCAGACTCCAGGGGTGTAACAAAGGGCACCAAAAATCTCCATGTTAAAGAGACCACAAACTCCAGGAGACTGGGGCATCCCAACCTTTCATTTCAGTACGCACCAGACCCCAGGGGCATCACAAAGGGCACCAAAAACCTCCATTTTAGAGTGACCGCAAATTCCCGAGGTCACCACAAACGGCCCCCAGGCCCTTAGATCCCCCTGGCCGACGATCACGGGCCCAATTTGAGTGTCCGACAGACAAGCCGAAGGTCATATGAAGAGACCCCAGTCCGAAAGCCCGACCCTAAAGTGCCAACATGTCAGGTGCCAGCCAGAGGGCCTCTCGTTCCGATCTGGGGCCCATGACACAGTGAGAGCCCCTATGTCAGCTGGCTGAGACCACCAATACGGAACAGTCAATTTCGTGCCAATCTGGGCCTTAGTAGGCCCCATTCCAGTGCAGGGGCAAGGCCAGGGCCTGCAAATGTCAATAAGAAAGCCTGTTGCATTTGTCGGGGCCCCTGTTGTTGTCATAGGGGCTTTACGACTCAGTCAGCTGCTGAGGCTATATGGCGTCGCCTGCCTCTCGCCCTGGCAGGAAGGGCTAGCACCACGGGGAACCCAAACCTGCACCTCTGGTTTCCCAGACGCACAGAGTTTAACGAAGACACGTTAACGACAACAGTTGACCGTATGTCGGCAATGTACCCCGGGTCGGCCAGCAGCACATTTGCTGGGCAAGGGCAGAGATGCCGTTAATGTCAAATGGTCTCTTGCGTTAGTCGGGGCCCACTTGACATTCAGAGGAGATCTCAGAAATGGCGGTGCAAAGGCTCTCATTCACGATGAGGCGGTGGAAAATCCTGTGCGAAGCCCCAGTACTGCACGATGGGCCCTCCACACCGTTTCAATCCGGGGCCGCTAGGCCGCGCTGGCGCCTCGGTGCCAATTACTGGGCACCCCGCACCGGTACGGGATCCGTTTACACCAGCGAGCGTCCCTGCTTCGACCCGGTGCCAATATACCGGTCAGAGCGCCTGTCGCATCAGAGGGGACTGGTGTGTGATGCGTCCCTCTGAGGGCCTCCGCATCGGCCAGGGGAGCCTTGTCCTCGCCTGAATGGCAGCGACAGCCGCTACGGACCCTGGGCTGCGACGAAATGCCCTGCAACTCTAGGCCACGAGTTTGCCCGCACAATTCCGAAGCTGATTTTGGGAACGGAACTAGAGGTTACAGCGGCACGAGCAATAGAGGTTACGTCATTGCGTCATGAGTTTGTGGTGCTAGTAAGTGCTAATCCGTTCGGGTATCAATCTGAGTATCGCACGGATGAGACCTGGCCAGGATACCTTTCACACATACCAATTGATTTCATAGCGATCGGAAGTGCTGCTTTCCGATGCGTGGTTATTTTGGATCGCCTGTTCACTGCCGCCGGATGTTAGCCGCAAGGCCGACGCCACGCGGCCCGTTGAGACTGCAATCCCCGACGTCGGCGCTCTTTCTCGCAAATGGCGAATGCACGTGCTTAAAACAATTTGATACGTTTTTGGTGATAAATTCTAAAGACAGGATAAGCTACCAAGGATGAACTGTGGATGGACACATCATTGGCAGTTTTTGACAGCATTTTAATCTTTGATGTATGCTGGCATTCAATCCCCAGCCTCTCAATGCATTTGCATATCCCTGAGAAAATCTGGCAATGCTGCTGAACATGGTTTTAAAGGAAGGGCCAAAATGAGCCAACATAAAGTGCACAATGCCCACAATTAATTTAAAACAGTTGTTTCATTCCTGCTTAATCTACTGAATTGCATCTTCAGGTAGCTTCTGGTAGCTTCCAGCTTCTCTTTCAGTCCTAGAAGTTCAGCATACAAAATAAGAGGAAATTTAACTAAAAATAAAGTAAGCTAAATCCCACAGAGTATTCTCACAGAAGATATGCTACTGATTGCATGACAAAAATCTGAAAACAGAGTGGAAAAAATCTGGGAACTTGTTGTGAGGGACCTTGCTACAACTGTGAAGCATCACCCTCCCTGAACAATCCTTGATTGGCCACTCAAATGCCTCTTGGATTGGCGTTGCATAATCCCCACATGTATATCACAACTACCTGGGAGTTACATGCATTATGAGATAAGGTGATACTGGATACTACATATTTTTCAGTTGCTGACTCAGCTTTTTAGATAACTTTTGAGTTATCATGATGTCCAAAAGATATTGCTTTTGGGAGTCATCATGTTTGACATTGCATTTGTTGGCCAAGCTTTAGTTTAACATGGGACAACATGGTAGCACAGCACACAAAATTTTAGGGGCATTGCAGCATGCTATGAAGCTGGTATTACCAGTCATTAGTTCTTTTCCATGTAACTACTCTGCAAAGCCTTGGCTTCAACAGAACACAAACAGATGTTAATGCATAATGGCGACATGATGCATACAGCCTGTTTAACCACATGGTGCATACACCATATCAGTCTACAACCACATCCCATTCATGTGTGCTGAACAGAGAACATCCCATTCATGAGGCTGAGACAACTTGTCATAGGTGGAGATAAGTTGTAAAGAGTGAATGACTTGTAAGATGCACATTCCATGGGAGGAAAGCAGGAGTTAGTTCTTATTCCAGAATGCTGATTTTGACCCCAAGCATCATAACAAATTTGTATTGTCTCAAACAACAAGGACCCTGATAAAGGGACGTTATTAGTTCCCATGTTTTTGCCAGTGAACAGCATTATCCCATCAATGATAGGAAGTGATTACACAAACTTTCTGCTATTATCACCTCAATTGCCTCTGCAATTGAGGTCTGCACTGGGAGTAACTAATTACTTTATCCTTATGTTAAGTTACAACAATTTTATATTGCAATTATTGTTGATGCTCTAAGTCCTAGCAAAAGTACTAGAACCATAAATTTGTTGTTGATTTGCCACAAATACTAAATTAAAAATTGATGAAATCTTCCAAGAAGGAAGCTGAATTTATATTTCTGGTTTATGATTTGATTCTGAATTACATCAATTAAATTCTGGGAACCTGAAATGGTTGAATAATTCAAAACCTAAAAGTTAGTCCTCCTAAATATTCCAAGAATAACCACTTAAATGCCTAATGAACATGACTGACAAAGTAGCTGGCATTTTTTCCACTATATGGAAACAGTTAAACTAAAGATAGCATGGCATATCCATAGATGTAACCATCACAAAGGTCAATGATATCTGTACCCCCATTTGGACAGGGCAGATTAGACTTTATGCTTTGACCAAATCAAATGACACCAGAACAGAAGTGAACCCATTGACATTCAAGGGATGTCTGCCAGATCCCTGACAATATATGTAACCTGCAGGATGACAGCAATAGTTTATCAGCATGTATTACTACAAATGATAACAAATGTGCAAGGTACTTAAGAGTATATTATACCTGTAAAATATTTGAATCAACAGTTATGTTATGCTAAATTCAGTTGTCCAGGTCAGAAATAAATCATCAAAGCTTTAGCTGACAGTTGCAACGCCGATTTCCACGCTCAGTTGTGGAAATTCTGAGTTATAGATGCAATGTCAAACGTAATTTCTTTTCAGTATATAGGACAGAGTTATATAAAGGTGTTAAAGGAATTCATGTCTGGCGCATGTACAGATAACAAGTTTGTATGGTTTGCTTGCTGGATTTAGCTGATGTGGACCGTTTTACTGATTGCGAGGCCTGCGCCGGCGTTACCGAATAACTATGGATTTGGGTTTATCGTGGCTGACAGGCTCACCTGCGCGCACCCAATGATAGCTCGGACTATGGCGATCTTTTAGGCTGTCGCGAGCGGTGCTGTGTTTACGTGAGTCGTTTTCGGCACATTGCGCAGCTTTGCATGTGAGGTACTAAAAAACAGGAATACTCAGCAGACATACTCATTCTTATAAAAAGCTCATTACATCTCTTTCAAGTAATCATCAAATCACTCGATCCACCATATCACGATACCCTTCTGCAAGGACGAAAGCTTTGACCCTAGATTAGGTAAAAAATCGTCAGTTTTTACAGCTTTCAGCTAGTTTACCTCGTACCTTCTAGAACTTGAATAAGCTTTGAACCGAACTTTAAAGAAAGTATAGGCTTGTTTGCCAAAAGGTTCCTTTCAGAGCACCCATTGAGAAAAAACGAAGCAGAATCCAATCAGTTGTTCAGCCACCAAAAGCGGGGTTGTCCCTCTTCTCCAACGTTGCGTTTTGTATGCCTGCTTCGTTCCTTTTTGGGCTTGTAGCATCCATTCTCATCAACCAATTCATTGACTGCTTTGAACTCACTTATAATGATGAAAGGAAGATGAATCAGATGATGGGAGGTTGTTTCAATGAATCATCACCGTGATCCCCAAACTGACATCTCAAAATTGTCCATACCTAGGGCTTGTCTACCTTCAGGGGGTGCATACAAATTCTTACTCGCAAACCATTGAGATATCGGAAACTAAGGTATGGCTCCGATCGTCTCGAGACCCTAATCATAGAGTCAGTAAGAGTCAGTCGCGGCCGTGAAGAAGCTTGCAGCAATCCCAATGCAGGCGAGAAGTGGAATCCGCCAATTCACGTCATGGAGACAAAGCGCGCAGCACTGGCATAATTTACAGATTGATCAACGCTTGGCAAGTTTCGCACTCAAAAATGTTATCGTAAATCACGCCGTCTACACGTCGTAAAGAGCTCTCCATTTGCTGGACTACAAGGCAATGAATGCGCGTTGTTTATTGCTAGCTGTTGCTTTGTAAATGACCACTTAGCGCGCTTCTGCATCCTTTAAAAGAACTGTTCCGTATCTGTATGGGGTTTTCAGCTGAGATGTTCATCTTCTAACATCACTCCCTGCAGTTCACAGCCATGTCCTTTTTCAGACTTAGACCCTCTTGTTTCTGAGGTTGACGCACGCGAACTTGTGCAATCTATTTCGCAACGCCTATTTGAAAGGTACCCAGACCTGTAGCATGTCACGGAAACGTCATGTGAGTACCTCCACTCACTGTATCGTGTTCATGGTAAGGAAAAAAGCAATGATTTAGTACCAGCTGTCCCAGTGATGTAAGACAATTGGCAGACCAACTGAGCTAGCGAATGCACGTCTCGACCACGAACAGCGTGTTGTAACAAAACCACAGGGCTTTGGACAACTGCTAGTAATGACGAGCACGGGACTAAGAAAATAATGGTTTTAGAATAGCAACGCAACCGAGAATGCAAGCAAATAACGTACTACCACGGAAAATGTGCGAGAACTCCACGAGCAAGGCGAAAACACATTCGTATAGCCCTAGCACCGTGACCGCCTACAACGCACTGCCGCAGAATATCCGCGAGCTGAGCCTTCCACAATTCAAACGCGAGTTGCGTAGTTATATCCCGCAGCGGCAGATCAATAGCGGGTAGCGACATCTACTTCAAATAGCTTACGCGAATGTGAGAGTGCGTTCTGAGTGTGTGTGCCTGCGTGTGTACGTGTTTGCGCGGGCCCCCGACCTAGTGTTTTATTTCCATGACACGGGCTCTGTAATAGCCACATTCTGAACGGAGTGAGCTTATGACGTGTAATAAATAAATAAATAGCATAAATCACCACGCAGACCACCTACGCCATTTTGCGACGACCAGAAGCACAGGCGAGTGACGCTGTGCGCTGTAGGGGAAACTCGGACACGGCCAGTCTCGCGGCGACTCGGGTGTCATAAACAAACGTTCCATTGGTATCATGTGATGCTTGCCTCAATATCTTCAGATGTTGACTTCCCAACCAAGTAAGGAACAATTTTCAGGAGTACATCATAGGTAGGCCTAATAACTTCGGCAGAAGCACATTGGGCTGCCAACTTTCGGTAAAGAACGGATCCTTGGTCTCCTCTGCATAACTTGTTGACCCAGTCGCAAGAATCAGTGAAACCCCATACCACCAGCAGTCTGGCGAATGGCAGCCGTCGCCTTGGCCTGCCCGTTGACTTCCTAGCATGCACATAAATGCAGAGCGCACCCATTGGACTGCATTTGGCCATGGCCCTGCAAACTCGTGCTCATGTGCCGTCACGCACCACAGTGACGCGCTGGATGAGTCACGATGATGCATTCATGACGTCACTGGTGCTATTCATGTGCATATCAATATGACGTCACGCACATGAATAGCGCCGATGGATTCCATGAAACCCAATCCCAGACCTTCATCCGTTTTGTTATGCGCGATACGTGTTGCACCTGAAATGCTTCGAACATCAACGTAACCAGCGCAGCAGAAAACAAACATCTTGCAGACTCTAGCACCCGGAATATGTTCGGGCTGACGAAACCTTGAATTTAGAGACGTAAAAAGAAACATGGCGCCAGGCGAAAATTACATGGTTTATTTGCCATCGTCGGCACGTTATCAATGAACAAGAACATTCAACCGCAATGTCACGTCCTGCTGATTATGGCGGCGTTGACACAGACGCGTGCGGCACAGCAGAAGTGCGCAGGGACGTTAGCCTGGAACTAAGTCAAGAGAGCAGGTGATTAGGCACGGCCCGCGGAGGAATGCAGCCCAGCGCCGCTCTATGGGTGCGTGGCAACGGAGGCATGGTGCGGACACAGCGGCAGCACCGCTCACAGGTCCTCGTCGTCTTCGGGTAGCGCCGTCTCGGTGGCGACCTTCAGCTCGCTCTCGATCTGCTTCTGCCACTGCGGGTCCATCTGGACTTCCGGCGGCTCCAGTGCAGGCATGGCCACAAACTCGAGGTTCGGGTCACCAATCAGCTTCCTCGCCAGCCATAGGAAAGGCTTTTCGAAGTTGTAGTTGGACTTGGCTGAGATGTCATAGTACTGAAAAGATGCCAACAACCGTCACGCTGCAGCTCCTATATGACAGGGGAGATCGCACCTTCTGCTTGCTTAAGTCCGTAGGTTCATACATGCTCGATATCAAGAAAGAACAGTCTACACATGTGGGTGGGACTGGCTAATAATTACAATCGAAATCGTTCGTGGATGCATTGAGTAACCTGTCCATTTACAGAATAACATTTCATAGGAAGGATACCATCGTTTACTAATTGTTGCCAACAAACCAGCCAACCGAAAGGAAAATCCACAGATCTGGGGACTTTTAAGGCAACCATTCGTGCCATTCCGGGGAGTATTTCATAACTGGTTGTTCACTGAGCGCCGACCGGGAATGTTTCGCATCATAGTACACGGCATGCATGCAATCACCACGGCAAGTTCAGTGTTTTTTTCCCAATAAAGCTGCGTTCGCGAAGATCCAACATCACTGCCCTCAAGGATGCTGTTCTGTATGTCGCTAGTCAAAACTATGAGCCGTAATGGGTAAGGTGACACAGGTTGCCGTTTTCAGATCTGACCGGGTGCAAGTTACGCTTTGATATGTAAGCCATCGCAGAGTTGTTAGCTAATAGAGCTCTTTGGGCCAGGCAGTTCAATCAGATGATGACTGTTGAAATACTGCTCAGGTGATCAACAATGACCAAAAATGGTGACGAAAAAAACTTGTCCGCGGGGGAACATCCACAAGTTCGCTTCAGAAACAACCAGAAGAATTTTGCAAAGGCACGGAAAACTATCCCTTCCAAACACATCTTCGGGCCCAGACTTTGAGTAAGTCGTCCAACATGCAACTTATTGCGCCCATCACGCCGGACGGCTGGCTTAAGGGGATTACAGAGACAATGGTCTTCTCGTGCTATTTTGTCTCATGTCCTGCCTGCAATTCTGGTCACATGGCAAAGCTCACCTGCAGGTTCTTCTTGCGATGAAAGACGATGGACTTTGCCTTCACCTTCCTGTCTTTGATGTCCACCTTGTTGCCACAGAGTACAATGGGAATGTTTTCACACACTCTGACCAGGTCTCTGTGCCAGTTGGGGACATTCTTGTAGGTGGCTCTTGATGTGACATCAAACATCAGAATGGCACACTGGCCCTGCAAAAAATACATGGGGAATAAAAAAGTGACTTCAGTGAACACCCACATGGGCAGCTTTAGGGGGGGGGGGGGAGGGTCACTACAATAACCTCTAAGCAGCACCACACTGTTGAGCTGCAGGCAATTAAACAGAAAATTTTTTATATGACTATGCAAATCCAGGAAGGTTGCTAAACTATGGCATGTCAGTCATGCAAGAGCTCTCAGTGAACATAATGTCTACAGAACCAAGAAATCTAGTGACTAAGTAGCATTAAACCCCTACAACTTTGAGATGGTGTCAAAGTTAATTAAAATTAGGATTATAACTAATGTAACAAACCTTGCATCAGGAGTCAAAGAGGGATCAAGGTCAAAACAGAGCACCTCATCAATATGAATCCTTGATAAAAGGAGCATCAGAAGAGTCTCACTATGACTTATAAGGTTCAGGGGAGGTCACCCACCTAAAATGACCATGGCCAGTCTTTTGCCTTAAAAAACATGCAAACTATCATAGTTAACAACAATTACTTTGCTTCAAACACCAAAATAGCCCTAAGGGTTTTTAGTTGTCATGACATTCTGAAGGTCAAATGAGGTCTAACCTGACATGAACACTTGTGACCTTTTGCCTATCAAAAGCAGCTAGGTTACAGAGAATGTTCCACATTTGAGGATATTGGAGCAATCATCATAAATGATGAAATAAGTCACTCACAACCAATGTTTAATTAGGTCTGTTTACCTTGCAACAAATTGGTTGAGAGTCAGTTAGTGAAATTTGTATCTGGAATCATGCTTACAAAGCCAGTCATGCACAACTGGGTAGTCACAATGTTCTTAGTCTTGATTGCCACATGGCCAATGTAATGGCAGGATTTGAATGTCATTATTACAGTGCCATAGATGCTGGGTCTGCACATGTTTGCAGGCATGTTGCTCAGATACTAGAAAAGTTTGGGTCATAAGGGCAGGGCTGCAACCTGTACTGCACAGTATTCAGGATGGCTATTCCAGTTCAAAACTCCATAAAATGCTGAACACTCCACTTAAAGCTGGTTACATAACATATGAAGGCCACTCAGGCACAGATCGCAAGTTTCACCTAACTTGACTTATTCAACCCAAAGGTCATGATCTGGGAATTCAAAAGTTGACACACATGTTGCAATAGGGCCAAACCTACCTATCCTCCTTGGTTTTTGAGATCTCAGAGGGACAAAACAACTCTCCATCCTGCAAAATATGACATATCCTGACCACATCTCATTGAGATGAGCTAAGTAAATTTTAGGGCAGGAATTACTCAGCTGGCTAGCATAAGTTATGTTGAAACAGCTCCTGGTACATGAGGCATGTGTTGACCTGATGCCAAGATCAGGCAACACCACAAAACAGTGTTCCAAGATTCATCCAGTAGGGTGTGCAGAATTTAAATAAAAACTCAGGCTGCCAGGTTAATTTTCGCTCTCTGGCTGCCCTGCACACAATTTCCTGATGCTAATCTTTCGCCCTTTGACCCTAAACCCAGACATCTGACCTACCCAGACCATTTGTCAAGCCTGAGGCACCCAAATGCTGGGTGAACAGCCACAGCCACTCACTTCAAAGCTGATTGGCCAATTTTGACCACGAAACGGGGCAAAAGGCGGTAGGCCACAAGCTGGGGTGTGATAAAATGAAAAATATTGACATCTGTCCCAGCAGCGACCAAGTGTTTGAACAATGCCAGAAAATGCACCGTAGTGAATAGCAATATGAAGAAGCAACAATCCAGAAAGGCTAGTGCTGCCTCGAGGCCAAATGTACCACATTTGCCTCATCTGTGTCATGGCCATCAAATCTGTGCCAAATCAGCCTGGCTGGCCCTGAGTGAACTGCTTGTGTATGCTTTGAAACCAGAAATCTACCATGCAAATTTATGAACTCTGAGAAAAGTAGCACAAGCATGAAGCATTTTGCCTGCAGCAGCTTAGCACTGCTTGTACTGGACAGGTAAACCAGTCACAAACAACTACACACCACAAGGCTAGCAAAGCTGATGATGATTTAGGCTTTGGGACACACCAACTACAAAGGACAGCAAAACTGTGAGCCCTTATTGTTCATATTGTGAAATATTTGATGCAATTTTAAATGCTGTGCATTTGGGAACACAAAGCCATGGACAGATGGTAATGCAAAACATTGGACAGTAAATTCTGTGTACCTCTGCCTAATCTCCAATATTGGCACAGGAAAAATTCATAGCCAGCAGTAGATGACACAAATCTGATGGCCAGGAACATCTTGGAGACTTTCTTGTCATCAAATCACCAGCCTCAGCCCTAAACAGAGAATCTGGCCATTTGGGGCAGAATTAAGCCTGCCCTGAGCATTTGGTTGTCTGATCTGCTACCTTTCGCAGACTGGCACCCAAGTAGTTTACAATCAATCAGCAACCTTAGTCCATCTTTAATTTCATTTTTATAAATTTGATGTTTCCTCCTCCTGTGCCTATCCTTACAAAGCCATCCCCTTGAGGATGCATGATACCAATCTAAAGTAAGCAGCCTGAAAACCCCGCAAAATAATGCTGACTAACACCTCCACAGATTCAGAACATCCCCAGTCAGATGGCAGCACCTTGCTTTACCAGTCCCTTTAGCTTCCAATAATTTGCACTGCTGCCTGTCTAAAATGATAAAAATGTTCTACTCAAACACCTGCAGCAAGCAACCAAAACATGGCATGAGCAGCACAAGATCAGTTAGCATAGCAGCTGAGATTGGTGAAAACTAATCAAACATAATATGATGCAGGCATGGCAAAACAATCAAATACAACACCAAAGTACTCATGTTACAGGCACATTTCAAGTTATACACACAATAAAATGATGGTTTCTAAAATGACTTTTGGGACTCACAAATGTAAAAATGACAACCTGTAATCTTGTGGAAAGCCTGTAAATCCAATTTCTAATCTCTAGCAAGGGCCTAATCTAAAATAACAAAATAATGCAAGGATACACCTCCTAGATAACCACTCTTCATGCATTATGGGGTCAGCAACTAACCTGAATATAATAACCATCACGCAGACCACCAAACTTTTCTTGTCCCGCAGTATCCCACACATTAAACCTGATGGCTCCTCTGTTTGTATGGAATACCAAAGGGTGAACTTCCACACCAAGTGTAGCCACATATTTTTTCTCAAACTCTCCAGTCAGGTGACGCTTGACAAATGTGGTTTTGCCAGTGCCACCATCCCCCAAAAGAACACATTTAAATGTGGGCATGTCTGCTGTTTGCGCCATGACTGGTGTGGTATCTGAAAAGAAAGGAAAATTGGTAAACACCACGTTCCCAAGAGAACAATCCTACTCTGTGCACACAGTACATAGCAATACATCATACAGGAGGGGTGCATCAACACATCTTTACAATTCAGGCCCAGCAATTTTGGCGCCTGGCACCTTTCACGAAACGTGGGGACGAAATGGCGTCTTTCCGTTTCCCACCCCGCGTGGCCGGCGCAGAAAGTCAGAAGTACAATTCGTCCCGTTCAAAGGTATCTGGTCCCAAAATTTTACCCAGTAATATTATTATTACTTTTAAGAACCCCAAAACCATATCACGTAGTCCATAACATGTCATTTTACGGCCGTCACAAGCATTTTAACATACCCGACCCGCGTCTGCCCTTACGGCTCACAATGGCGTTCACCGAGAGAAAGAGTGGCGGCGCATGATCTAAATAATTGAAAGAAAATAAATGGTGGTTCAAAAAATAAGTTTGGCCATGAGCTATTCAAAAAATATTTTCAAGCCAACAATTTTGGAGAACAATTTACTAACACACGAGCACGAAACATTCATAAATTCATTCACCTCTCTATGAAAGGAACTGGCACACTTGTCAGCTCTAGGCTGAATCACGTTGGTGGAATGTTAAGGAGAAATCATTGTACAGCACATGAGTATGAAACATGCGTAAAATACACGACTTCAAGCTGCACCATATATTACCGGGTATTTCAACGCAAAAATACGTCACCATATTTTAATATTACTATTTAGAATATATAACAGCAGACTCAAGCAATCAGAGCCCAGCGGAAACTAGAACTTGATGCATCCTCAGTCTAAACTACTAAAAATTTCAACGCAGATATGCAATATCACTAGACCGGCATCACCCATGTTCAGCTACTATCAGGCGTATGAGCGGGGGCATGCTAAGAGCACGTGTGCATGCATGTCCAACTTGCAGACATGTACCGACCAGTCGATTGCATCGGTAATTTAGCATGTTGCGCAAACGCTCCGGGGGGGGGGGGGGGGGGGGGGGGGGGGGGGGGGAAGGGGACGCCGCCGAGCCGCGAGCTGCCCCGAGTCCAATAACGGGCCTCCGGACAGATAACATTCAAAGCCATCCGAATTCGTAACACGTGACGCGTGTGCATGGAGGTTACGCATGTGACTTATTAAAGTCGAACGTACGAAAACAAGTCTCGCTCGCTGAAGCACAATGAAAGGCATGTACAAATGCGCATGATCAATTTTAGCATTTCTGAAAGGGCCTTCGAGGCAGGAATGATCCAATCTCCTCTCACCCGGCTTTATTTAACTCGAGGCGATGGACTGACGACACCGAACAAACTCACACAATGTTGGAAATGTCGTCGAGCGGTCACTGGATTAGGTCTCAGTAGCCTCGTATTTTTAGCAATTCGATGCCAGCGAATGGGACCGAGCTTTATCCTGATGAACAAATAGCTTCCTATGACAGAAAATTATTGCGAAACTTTATTTGTAACGCGCAAGAAGGCTGTTGGGATAGGGGAGGGGACTGTTCCCTCCTTTGCGAGGATACAGAGCGACGCATATCTCTCCTCCCGGACGCCGCTATGTGCACTACATTAAACATACCATTTTATTTTATCTGCACTGCATTTTATCGTTTACTGCAGTCCATCGTCCGTCAACTACGACGACCAATGGTATTTATTTCTTATAACACTGCCCGTCACACATTTCAATTAAAGGGAGTGTTCCATGTTTTCATGGGTGTAGGAACGTTTCAAAGAAATGAGAGAAGGGAGCGGGTCAGGGAACATTTCAAGAACTTTAGAAGAAACCAAGCCCGGTGACCGGGCAGGAGGGAGGTAGATATGAAGGTTATTGCCCGCTCTTAATTTACATAATACATGTTGAAAAATATGTGTCATGGTTTTCTACGCTTGATGTAGTCTACGGCTGTTTCCCACTGGTGCACAGTCTTGTCTATTCGACTCACTTTTGCCATTTGGCAGCTAAGGCAAACCCAGCTTTCCGACATTATCCTCCCGTTTGAACATGGTTTTCAGTGTGTGTGGAGGAGGGGGGAGGGGGGGGAGGGGCGAAATTCCACGAGCGGGTAGGCATTTTGGATTATTGAGGAGGCCTTTGCCTCCACAGGGTAGATGCCAAAATACCACCTGAAGACAGGCTAGTCAGAATTTGGAATGCGATCGATCGTCCATAGTGCGTCAGAGTTTTCATGCACCGAAATTTCGCCGGGTGTTTTTTAAGAGGTAAGATTCATCGCACAATTTAAGGGCTAGGTGCCAAAAGCAAGATGGCAAAAATATAAAACTGGAGTTTCTCCTGTAAAAGACCAAGCCACATAATGAAGGCCCTTCTGTCATATGTTCCTTATCTGAGCCATGCTCCCGTCCGCCGGCGGCGGCCACTGCCCCCTACCCGGCTGTCCCCGCATGAATGACTGCGAACTGACAGTATGATTGCTTTACCGCATGTTTATCGATTAGTATTAATGCTTATTGGTGTGTAAAGCATATATTGGACACATGCAACAGCATTCTTTTCGGAATTATCTTCCCTTACACCGCACCACGGCATCAACGTTTTCGGGAAACTGCCTGCCTTAGCCATGAATTGGTCCAACAAGCATTAAAATGCCTCTCATTTCAACGCAGCCGACTTGATCTGCATTTGTATGTAGGCATGGGCGTAGCCATAGCCTTGCCAAAGGGGTAGGCACGGGGTTGACAAAATCTCCCCTGATGGTGCCCCCCCCCCCAATAAATTGCCAGATGTAGCTTTGCATGTTAACAACGGGCACGGTTCTATTCATTTCATTGTTATCTTCACGTTGCTGCCAAAGCAAAAACAGGAACCAGAAGCTGCCGCGGGACCAAATCTGTTTGTATTTCGAAATAAGTAAACTGCAGAAATCAGGCGCTGAACGACTGCATGAAATATATCACCGACGCTTTTTCATTTTACATGGCTCAGTGGACTCTTTCCAAATGAATAGAACTCAAAGTCTTCGTCAGAAAGCTTTATCCGGATTCTACAGACATATTAAGGACCCCGCAAAGGGAAGATCGTAGATAGAATGGGTCAACAATGCGTATCAACATGATCAAGTCATGTTTGTCAGGAAATATTCAACAATCGGTCAGAATCGATTGGTGACACGAATTATGTCACGTAGTTTAAACATGCACGCTCTCAAATCTTGAGCAACAAAACCTCGACGCTAGGCGTTGCTGTTTCCAATGGTCGCGCGGCATCAGCCCGGCGGCTAACACTGAGCCGTGGCCAACAGGTGGACGAAGATGATGACGCCTCTAAATAAGTACTTCTGAACGCTTTAAGACATCAAATCTTACATTTAGAAGGTAGTTTGGGCGGATATTTCACTGGTGTGATTTTTAGACTGATGACGGGAACGGATTGACCCTTACAGTGTCGCGAAGTAGCGTTGGAATCTGGTGGTGAAACTAGAAGAGTTAAGGTAGTATCTCTGTTTTTCGTGGTGTCTATGGATTACCTAAATAAATGGGTGAATAGGAAAACATTGCATATAGAAAATCTGTATAACAGAAAAAAAGCAAAAGGCCAAAATGCACAATGAAAGCAAGGGCGTTCAGGGACGCCGGTCGGTGCTGCTCGGTCGGTCAACGAAACGCGTCGGCCGCATTTGTGTTGGTGTGGTGTGCGTCTGATGTATCTGGAAAACATGTGATTGGTTACGGTGTTGTAGGTCGGTCACAGTTTTTTATACTGCCTGGCGAGCTGAGGTGCTGTACTACGATTGTGGCTGCCCGGGACGACTGGTGATGCCCTTTGACCTTGGGTCGTAAGTGGTGTCGGGGTGACCCACAGCCGCGCTGCCCGGGACGCCGACCACTGGACGCGGAGTGAACGTTATGTCAGACCGCATGTGGCGGCATTCTCCAAGCGCTCGCGGTTCCCGTAATGTTGTTGGGAATAGCGATAAAAGATCGCATGTTTTTTTAAATATATGGCGATGGTAAAAACGTCCTGTTGCATAATCGTTGGTTCAGTTCCTGACCATTGATGTTCTTATGTTGCAGAATCCTGATTTTCACTTGCTGCAACGTCCGTCCGTCCAGGTGTAAACTAACCGTTGAATGAATCGGCGCGAAACATGCTCCGCTATGGCCCCAACTTCGGTGGTTAGCGTTCACATGCGCGGCATGCGAGAACGGCAGGAAAGGAAGCGCAGTTTTTCGTCATTTACATGACACAATGTCCAACATGTTAGTAATATTGCCAAGAAACGCACTGAAATCACGTTATAAAATGAATGGGCGCGCGGCAGTTGCGTCAGGTCACGGAACAGCGCATCAGGCCAGGTGGCGGTTTTGCTCCTAGACGATTTGGAGGGTCGGTTCAAGGTCAATTTAGGCGACGGAGAGGGATGAATGGTTTCCGACTCAATGATTGGCGGAGATCATTTTGCTATCTTAGCTGTGTATGCACCAACAATTGATACCCAAGAGCAAAAAATTTGCATTTTGGAAAGCCTCCGGCAAGTGCTCGTGCACTTTGCTGAAGTTAAATACAATCCTGTGCCAGGTCTTCAATATCCACTTAGGGCCGTACTACGCCCCATATGGCATTCTACGCCTATGTAGCCTTATCAAGAAATGAGAAAGGCTTGAAGTTTCGAGGGCAAGCAAATGCCTATCTGACATCACTAGCGAGTTTTGTCTTACACCTATATGGAGAACAGTTAAACCCCCTCTAAGAGGGAATGCACATGCCGGCAATTAGACCCACCACGGCAATCGCGTATAGATTTTTTGTTGTTAGCGAAGCACTACACGTGCTTTACTGTACAGGCCAGCATTGAGGGTAGCCGTTCGAAGTGATCATGGCGCCATTGTTGCCAATGCCACGCCCGCCACGCGCCGACGGGGCCCAGGCTGTTGAGAATTCACAATGAACTGTTGGTGCACGCGGAGTTTGCAGATTTCACGATTGGGGAATCATGCGCTCAAGAATATGGCTCTGACTATTTACACCAGCGAAAAGGGAAATTCATGCTGGTCATACACAGTCACACACCGGGAAAGTCATGCTGTGAAAGTAGAAATGCTGAAAGATAATTGTTGCTATACGGGCAATAAGAATTCGGCGGCGGTTTGAAATGCATCACTTAAAGATAGGAAAGAAATTAATAAGTACATAGGTTGGCGGTATTACAGAAGCATCAGCAGTCTTGACAAGGAACATTCCTTTCAAGGAACCAGACACGTTCCTTTTTGACTAGTCATAAGACAAGTTAATTCTCTATGTTATACTTGTTAATTATGTGACGTGAATCTTTGCTGAAAAAATTGTCAAAAGCAAGGGGCTTAGGGGCATTGAAAACCACTGTGTCACCACGGTCTGTGACGTCAGCAC